CATACTTTTACAGCACCAATCTAATATAGTTTACCGGATACCTTGCTCTACTCCTAATTGTAATAGCTCCTATATTGGTGAAACCAAAAATCATCTCAAAACCCACATTTACCAACATAAAACATCCATAACTTCACGGAACCCTTCCGCCTCCAACTATCAGAACATGCCTTAACCCTCAACCACTCATTTGATTTTGAAAAAACCTCTATCCTTGCCACGGCCCCTAACCATGAAAAAAGACTTATTTCCGAATCTATCCACATTCACATGGAACAGAATCCTGTTAATCATAAAGTAGATAAAAACTTTATTTCTTTAACATATAGACACATTTTAAATCTTATAAGAGAAAAATAACTTATATATTACATTATATTATTTTTATTTTTATCTACTCTCAATTTGTATTGATTAATTCATTTAATTGCTCATTATTCTAAGTATTTCCGCTTTGTACGATCTCTCTTTTATTTATTTTTTTAAAATTTATATTTACACTCTACATCAATATATGATCATCATTTTTCCACTTTGTATTCATTTTACTTATTAAACATGTCTCAATATTATCTAATGTTCAAATGTAATTTTCTTACATATGAACAACCAAATATAATTATAATTATTAATTTTTTTCCCATCTCTATACTTCTAAGTTAGTTCTGCAATGTATGTATGTAAATGAAGGTATTTCTATATTTATATTTTACTTCTGCCAATTTTGGGTTTATTCACATTGTATTCTTATCTATAATCTCTTAATTCTATTTTATATGTATATATTTATAATTTAATATTTCATAGATATAGTATTTTTCCATTGTATCCACCCATATCTTCAAATTTTAGATACTGTAATTTTCTAGGTTTTTCCCCATTACCCAAACAAGTCAGTTCCCCTATACCTGCCCTTACCCCTGGTTTACCAGTTATTAGTGAAACTCCTAGCTGAAGACACCTGTAAGTCTCTAATTTTATTCTTCCATTTTATTTACTTATTTATTTTTAATTTTCTTTTTCTTTTCTTTCTCCACATTCCTTTTATGTCTATTATTTCATATTATATCCTTTTTCTTTTTCTTTTAATCTCTCCTGTAGATCTGTAGAAGTATATTCACATTTGCATTTATTATATATTACACTACAACAATTGTTAACATCTATTTACTTCAGTTTAGAATCTTGTTACTTAGCTTACTTTGTTCATATTTTAATGTACTTACTGTTTATAATTTCAATAAGCTTATTCACATTGTTTATAAATTTTGTCTAAATATTATGTAACTGCCACAATTCTCTATCTTTTTGTATCTTGTCCGTTCTAGCCCTGAAGAAGACCAGCAAAGTCGCGTCGAAGCGTCGGCTTTCAATAAAATAGTTTTACCACTATTTAGCCTATTTATGACTGCCACCCCGGACCACCTCCTTCCTTTATAATGCAACTGTCAACTATTAAATATTCAACTGTAATATAAGTTTGGGTATATAAATATACACTGACAGGCAAAAAATTCCACCCACTTGATTTTTCCATGTTTTCATTTAAAAATATTTCTGTAAAGTTGTATTTGTATATAATACATGGTATTTGTAGATAATACTTAGTATTTATGGAATTTTATAATCTTTTTTACCTTTAATAATCAAAATGTGATTGAGTAAGAAAGATTAGAGAAAAAAAAATTGAAAAACGAACCATTATTATTCTACAAGAAATTAATTACATCATTGTTTAGTAGCGCGTGTTTCATCCTCTTGCCTTCACTACTTCTTGAAGACGCCTCGGCATACTTTCCACCAGTCAGGAAATGTCCCTTTGCTGGAGGATAGCCCATTCCTCCCGAAGAGCCCTTTCAAGGTCCTGCAGTGTATCAGGAAGTGTTGCACGTGCTCTTATTCGTCTTAAGAGGTTATCCCATAAATGCTCAATGGGGTTCTAATCTGGAGAACGTGCTGGCCAGGCTAAAACCTCAATATTGTTCTGTTGAAGGAACGTCTGCACTATGCGGGCGTGCATTATCGTGCATTAGAATAGAACGATCGCCGATTTCGTTGAGGATAGGCAACACATGAGGTTCCAAAATCTCATATACATAGCGAATGGCCGTCAAAGACCCTCCACGAACAACAATCAATTCTGTGCAGCGCTCCATTGAAATCCCAGCCCACACCATTAAGGAACCACGTTGGAAAGATTGGCTCTGGGAAAAATTACAGGCTGCATATCTTTCGTTTCTTCTTCTCCACACCCTTTCACGCCCGTCTGGAGATCGAAGAGCGAATCTTGACTCATCTGTAAAAAGTACAGCACTCCATTCATCCATAGTCCAATGGCTGTGTTCTCGAGCAAAAGCCTGCCGTGTTACTCTGTGAGTTCTGGTCAACTCTGGTCCTCTTACTGGACGAAAAGCCATTAATCCATACTCATTTAATCTTCTCCGAGCGGTACGTTCAGAAATTTGGACGCCTCGAACTTCTTTTTCGAGCTGATGAATCGCTTGAACAACGGTAAGGTGCCGGTTTCGTAACAAAAAACCGGTCATCCTGTGGTTCTGTTACCCTAGGCCGTCCAGAACCGGGCCTTCTATTGTAAGAACCAGTTTCCCGAAAACGCCTGACGGCGTCTCGTAAAGTTTCATATGGAACTCCGATGGCATTAGCTGCATATCTAATGGAACGTCCATCATCAATAAGTGCCAAACCAAGCGCAACATCCTCAGCACTAAGAGGCATTTTTGAACTTAATATTGAAAAAATTAAAAGCCGGAGACTAAGAAATGTGCTCCAAGAAACGGCACTGAACTAATGATTCTGAATAAACATATTGATTCCATAGAAAGTAAACATTGGAATCTAGAATCATTTAATTGAATTAAGGATTAAGGGTTATTGTCCTCTATATTAACATTCCTAATAGAAAACAAACAAAAAGATTACTTATTTATTCATTAAAAACAATAGACCAATCCAAAGCAGAAATATTTTTAGATGAAAACATGAAAAAATCAAGTGGGTGGAATTTTTTGCCTGTCAGTGTATTATACGGTAAAATTTATAATAAAACCTTTGAAAGGTAATTAAATTACCAACAAAACAAAAAAAAACAAACATCGGAATCAAACCAGTATTAGCGATGATACAGCTTATTCTATTTTTTACACTTTTTTTTAACTTATTACTTTCCTACCTATATAGGTAAGGAAAATATTGCATTTGGGTCAAATTCCCAACATGAGGTTTTCGACGGATCTATAAGTTTCAGAGCCTCCTGAGTCCGAAAAACATATTTTTAGCCATTGGCCTGTCTGTTTGTTTGTCTGTCTGTGCCAAGATTTTCTCGGAAACTACTGAACTGATTTTGTTGCTTCTTTTTTTATTTTGTGGGGTTTTGACTACTGATGCCTGTGATGAGATTCGGTGCTCCATGCGCAATAGCTTGCACGCAATAAATGAAAAACATGTTTTTCTATAGATTGTAGCGCAAAAACGGCTCTAACGATTTTGATGAAACTTTCCTATAATGTTCTAATCATTGTTCTTTCAATTTTCGTATATAGACTAAACATGAAAAAATCAAGTGGGTGGAATTTTTTGCCTGTCAGTGTATTAATATTTATCTAAGAAAAAAGCTTTTATTTTTGTATTCTGTATGAACTACCAAATTAATAAATAAAATATCTAGGTCCTGTTCCTGGTCGATGAAGACCATTTGATGCTCATCTTTTTTTCGGCACCTCAATCTGCAGGCAGCAAACCAGACATGTTTTATTTTTCCCACAGCATTATTCTGGTGGGCAAGCCACTAGAGGTGTCTATTCTAAATAACAAAAACTATAAATTCGGTGGCAGTCATTTTCCTGCAGCCAAAATCGAGCGTTGAGGAGTACCTCTTCACCTTTCTACACTACATTAGGTCGTCCCACACTAATTGTCTGACAAAGAGCACATTCGGTCTACATAGCATCCATGACCCACAAATGATGAGATGAGAATGATCAATTTTGCTGCTTCAAAGAGACTTGTGGTCGGTAGTACTATGTTCCCCTATAAAAGAATTCATCTAGTGACATGGCACTCCAATGATGGATTCACATGTAACCAAATATACCATGTGTTAATAAGCAGCCATCACATCATTAATTTGATGGATGTGAGAGTATTCAGAAGTACCAATATTGATTCTGATCACTACCTCACAATCGCCAGGTTCAGGGCAAAGATTTAAAATATCAGAAACCAAAGTGGAGCACGACTGCTAAAGATCAACACTGAAAAGCTAAAGGATCTCGAGGTTAGGCAACTATTAACAGACAGCATGAATACTAGAATTAAAAGCCTGCATCAAGCTGATAGCAAGATCAGCAGTAGCAAAAATGTAAAGAAGAACTGGCAGTTGGTATGCTTGGATACCGAAGCTCAACTAAGCAAGTTCTCTAGTTTAATGAAGAATGCCACTATAGCTCATTTATCTTTATACTATTATAGGCCATTTTAAAGTAAATGAACAGGTGTTGTGTGTAGATATTATACTCCCTGCACTTCTCCATAATGCTTCTGATAGAGAATATCTGGTCTATGAAAAAAAAGTGACCCGCCAGAAGAATCTTGCTTATAAAACAATGTTACAGCGAAGGCATATAAGAAGATTAGTGCAGGAATATAGAACAGAAGAAGGGGAAAAAAAAAAACCATTAGAGGACAAAAACAAAAAAGAGATGGCAGCTGGAACGCCTCCAACAAATGGGAGACTTCCATAACAATAATGAGAGAAAATTCTTCCAAGAAATAAACAGCAGCCAATGGATGTTCAAACTTAGAATAAATGCTTGTAGAGACAACGAGAATAGTCTCATCAAAAATAGGATACATCTTCAGGAACAGTGGGGACATTTCGGAAACAGAAAAAATGAAACTTTTACTTTTGAAAATTAAAAATATTATAAATAAAAATAAAAAAGAAGATAGTAAGTCTAGTGTTTAACAACATTAAAATATACCTGTATAACTCCTGAGAAACAGATTTGCTCAAATGTAGAATATAGTTAGCTAAATCATGAGGATTATAAAATTTTGAGTGAGTTATTCCAGTAGTTAATTCCAATTCACACAAAGCATAATCCACTTTTTTTCTAACATTTTCATCTCTATAACAAGTATACAAGAAGAAAAAGTAATTTTAGAAAACTTAAATAAGATTGGAGTATAGTATAGGATGAAGAAATGGCTATAGAATTATTACATTTAATAAAATTTAATATTATATCAATTCCAAGTCAATTGAAATTAGGAGAATTGCAATCACATTAGATCAATACTAGCTTACTGCTCCCTACCTATTATAACTAAGAACATTGTTATGGGGCCTCAGTGGCTCCAAAGGAGCTAAAAGTTTAGGAATAGGTTAAATGTTCAAGTCATACAATTATAACTGTTTCATTAATAATTATATGTTTCCATTATATTATAGTCCGTGGTACAGACACCTTATTGTCAAATTATTAACATCTGTCTAAAATTTTATAAATGATATCATCTTTTGGCAGTGCTCGAAACACAGCACAGTTAGTAACAGTAAATATTACATTTTTTATAAATTCATTATATACATTATTTTTAGTTTATATAACTTTTTACATATTTTGGTATTATTAACCATCATCTGTCTTATAATATTATATCTCTGAATGTATTAAACAATTTTTCAGCACTGATGATGACCCACATGTTTGGATTGAAACTTTGGCACCAATAAAAACTTTGTAATGACTGTGTCCTGAATATTTATCACCCATGATATGTAGAACAGTCAATAAACTTCCTTCAATAATTCATAAAATACAATTAATAATCAAAGTATAGTCCATTGTTATCTACAGTCATTAGCCATCTGCTAGCCAATTGTTCGATCCCACGCTGATACTATTCTTTGGAATGGATGTCAAAGAACTCTTGAACCGCAATTTTAACTTCAACACAATTATCAACTTTTTTTAAGAAAATGTACTATGGATCTAAATAAGTAGTAATCTCATGTTGCAAGGTTTGGACTATGTGGTGGATGAGGCAGGAGTTCGAACCCATGAAGTTCTTTAAACTTTTCTTTGTTTTGACAAAAAGTGTGAGGACGAGCATTATCTTGTTGGAATAAAATTCCTTTTCCATTGATCAAAGCAGGATAACCTCTGACAACTTTGCTTACAATCTTTCCAGTTGTTCGCAATAGAGTTCAGAATTTATAGAGCATCCATCAGGAACAAATTCGTGATGAATAACACCTTCAAAATTCAAAAAACCCAAAGCATGGATTTTTTTTTCAAATTGCTCCCTTGCAGCAACCAGAAAAGCATTTTCACCGTGATTTATTTAGCTATTGCTCACAGGTATTCGGATTTTGCCAGTAAACCCAATTTTCATCACAGGTGACAATCTTCCAGTAAAATCTCATATCAGAAGGGTTTTTCAATACATTTTCACAAATTTCTGACCTCTTAGCTGATTTCTAAGGAGTAAGTTCATGAGAGACAAGTCTATTGCTCTTTTTCACCTTCCTCATGGAGAGTAGATGGCGGCTAACAGTATCTTTTGACACACCACGCTCCCTGGCAAGTTCGCACATCAAACTTTTTTTATGAACAAGTCGCATGGGATTAAACAAGCTTATAGAATGCTCTAAAAGGATTATTAAGTACTGATAAGTATTAAATAGAATTAAAATATTTGTAGTCCTTCGAAATCTTTAATTTGACAAAACGGTAATTTTTTGTTTTTTTTGTAAACCCTATTAGTAGAAACCTGACCTCTCTGAACAAATTAGAACCAAAGATATAAAATAAAAATGTTTGAGAAGTTTTCCTTGATTTCTAGATTTAAAAGGTATTAAATCCATTGAAAGGAATTAAAATGACATCGGTTGGAAGAGAAGTACTTCTGCTTCTCAATGATTATATTAAAGTTGAGGTTGGAGAGGATCTTCAGGAGTTATAAATGCTTTCTTTGATAGCCAAAAAAAAAAAAATCATCCAAGAAGATCAAGAACTAAAGGTTATCTTACCTGATGAATTTAATACAATACTTTAATAATTGATGATATTATCATTATTCTATATAACAAAAAACATAAAAATTGAACCTGAGATCTTTTTGTGTTCCATGTAAAATAAGATATATCCTCTGATTAGGTTTCTTCTTCATCAGTTCATCAAAATATAAAACCAAACTGCTCGTTTGGACAAGTGAAATACATCTGTGTAAATGCCAGATTACTGCCAGATGAGATTTCTTAGAAAACTCAGATGAAACCTAAAATAAAATTATTTTTGTTAAAATCAGTAACATATTTACTAAATGGACAATCCACACACATGGAAGATTGGTTTTAGCAAATAAAAAATGAAAAGGTGATTACTTTATATCAATATAAAAAACAGATTTTACTAACAAGGTGAAGTTACGGAAGTGGGGTCACCGATTTCAAAGAAACTTTTTTTGGTGACACTATGTCAAAAACAATTAGATCCTTATCCGAGAGTTCTTGCCAATGCGCCCTAGGAGCTGAGAAACATATTTTATAAAATTTAATTATTTATTATTAGTTTTCTGACTAATATAACATTATAGTTTTATAACTAATATCATTTTGGCCATATGTAAGGCTGTAAAGCAGATGGATAGATAGAATCAACTAAGATACAATAAAGCCGCGTGCAAATAAATGGAAAGAAATAATCAAAGACAGGCAGAGATGGAGCAGGCTTGTTAAGGCGGCAAGCCTAACTTATTTACGAAGCCTCTTGTTTATATCATTTTGTGTACAGAGCCCTAGATTCTCGTGTGGATTAGTGGAGCCATGACGAAGTTATCACAATTTTTGTGATTTTTGAAAAAAAAAATCAAAGGCAAAAAAGCAAAACAAAATACAGCCTAGGCAAAAATGTTGATAAAAACTTTTATTTTTCAATTTGTAAGAAAATTCCTTATTTAAAGGTTTTTCGAGGTTTGAAATACAAATCTCAACTTGGTTTTTCCTTAAAAATAATTATTTCAATTCTTACTCCTTAGGTCAGTACTAATTGTTTCAATATTGTACTCACACTAGAGCTGTATGCCAAATATATAGAATAGAATAGAAAATAAACTTTATTCTGGGATGAGGTCCCTTAAGAATAACAATTATGAACAAAAAATAAAAACCATATCTGGCCAAAAATTAAAAACACGAAACAAAAAAAATCAGAAACACGGGATCTTGTTTTCTGGGAGTGGACCATGGGTTTGAACTGTAGGAGACTGTAGATGTATGGTGCCGGGTGTTGGTCAATTGGAATAGGAAAGATCCAAGGAAATGTTGTCAGCGGGAAGGAAATAGCCAGCCACTTTAACTCGTCGTAAAGGTGGGATACATGAGATCGCCTCAAAGTACCGAAGACAAATCTTAAGCAGGAGTTCATAAGTCGCTTCAATCTATCCTCGAGTACCATCGGGATGCCTCCACATACCACACAGCCGTCGTCAAAGTGGGGAAAAATAAGAGAGGATACAGGGAACTTGCGGATAGATTGTGGGAGTAAGTGGCGGGAGCGATGAAATAACTTAAGGGTACCTATAGACTTTCGGGAGATGAGGGCAATATGGGGTTTCCAGGAGAGGCTTTCGCCAATGGTGATTCCTAGGTTTTTACCGGAGGAAGGAAGGAGATGGATTTAAGAAGAGAACTGGAACCTATAATAATGGCCTGAGTTTTCATAGCCTTTAGCTTTAAATTATTCAGACTTGCCAGGCATTGATCCTATCTAGTTTTGCCTGAATATTGGCGAACGCGACTAATAGCTCAGAAGGATGAAAGGATAAATAGATTTGGGAAGATCATTTATATAGTAATTAAAAAGGAGAGGGGAAATGCTCAAACCCTGGGCCACTCCAGAGGACAGCGTAAGGAAGGAAGATAGGTGTTGGTTCGGAATGCTGACTGCTTGAGTCCGGTAGGAAAGGAAAGAATGACACCAAAAAATAGAAAAGCTGTTGGAGAAGGATAGAGGTTTTAATTTAGTGTGCAGTATAGAGTGGTCTAAGGAGTCAAACCATAATGTTCCGCAATCTTAACAGTCTCACCCGTGATAAAATCCTACCTAACCTTGAAACCCTAAATTGGAATATCTATTTTACTCTATTGATCATATGGTAGACATCCTCACTTCCAAGCTTATCCATATCCTTGACATTTGTGCTCCTACTATAACCTTTTTTTTTTTTTGCCAACCTGCTCCTTTAAAATATTGTTATAATTATAAAATGATCATTCTACATCAACAGACGTGATAAGTTCAAATTTACCTGCACTTAAAATTAAGCGATTGAGGTCAATGTCGCTGGGAACAATCGAATCTTCGCCATTTAAAATTTTATTAGTTCCTTCAGGAATTAAGGAGCAGGGTGGCTGAGCGGGCTAACATGTATGCATAGCACCACATTGCCCGGCAGCCTGATGGAATATAATTTGATAAAATAATTACATGTCCCTGTGGCGGGGAGCTTTTAACTGAAATCAAAAAATAATTTTACTCTGGGACTACTGTCCCCTAAGAATAATAACAGAGTTACAAATTTATGGATCTTAGTCTGACATAATAAAAATACCAACTAATTGACTGTTAATAGTTATTTCAACTGTGTAATGGATTGAAATTAAACATTGTACAGATGCAAGTAATTTTACAAGTTAGGGGAAGTTTGAATGTGGAGTAGGTGTTGGAACAGGAGTTGTTTGAAGGAATTTGTGGACGAGGATTGACGCATGGAGGTAGGAAGTGAGTTCCATAAGGAAGCAGCACGAATGATAAAGGATTTGCTGAAGGAGGAAGTTTTATGGGAGGGAATATATAAGTCTATAGGTTGAGACCTAGTATTGAGAGAGTGGATAGAGGAGCGTAGAGTAAGGAGTTCCAGGATGTAGGGCAGGTTTTTGGTTCTGAAGACTAGGAAACAGAAAACACCAAGGAGGAATTGTCGTCGGGAAGTAGGATAAAGCCACTTCAACTCGGTGTACAAGAGTGAAACATGTGACACCTGGGGATCCTGTATCTTCATTTTCAAACAATTCATGAGTCTCTTTAGTCTCATTTCCAGCCTGGCAGATAGCCCTTCATACACCAAACAGCCATAGTCAAAGTGGGGGAATACAAGGGAGGTTACAAGGAGCTGTCTGGTTTTTAGAGGAATACAATCATGGAATCTTAGGAGTTGTTGATTAATTAAAGAGTTCAACTCTGCATTAATCCTCTGCCCTCACCTCCTGGCCTGAGAAAATCCCGTAAAGCCTAAAAGGTAATGAAGGGGATGACAAAAAAGTAACTTCCAGAATTGCGAGACCTCAATTTATTATAAAAAAATCTTCTATTTTTTATGTAAAGTTTCACCCACTTGGCCTGGCACCACTGGACTTTTATCAGTTGTATAAACTGTTTCATGTCTGTTGTAAGGTACAATCCAAGATTTCAACTTTGATGAAAATAATAATACCTACTTAGGACATTTAAAAAAGAAACAGAAATATGATCTCTTGCAAAGAATGTAGGCAACAAACTGAAATAGAAACTTAGAATGATGTTTACATGGGACAAGAAGAAGAAATGGATTTCCAGGAGTTGGTGAACATCTATAAAGAGAATCATTGAAGGGTATAGGGAGGGGAAGATAGGTATAAAGTCTAAAAATGTGGTATTTTTGTTGTTTCGTTCATTTAAAATAAACCTACAATTGTAATCTTGAATCGATCTACAATATTGCATTTTAATTGTATATATATAAATATAATTTTGTATACATAAATACGCACACACATATATAATTTATTTCATTAATATGCATTTATCCTCAAATATGCAAAATAAAATTTGGCTAATTACATCACCGTGTTCCAATTCGTATAGATATTTGATGAGCAGTTAAAAAAATCACATAAACAAAACATGTAATTGCATAAAAATTCGGACTCAGGGTATAATATTCTGCCTTCTATTAACAGCTCTTATGAGCCCTATCTATGTTCATAGCTTTATAGAAGATATTTGTAATTATGTATTTATCTACTTTACACTTTATTTCACAAGTTGTTAATTATGTTATTGTTTTAACAAAGACTGAAGTTAGATTTTTATCGATTAACATACAAAATTTTGATGCGTTTACATACTCATTGTTCCATATTTGTTATATTTTATTACTATGCTTATTCAATTATGTGTTAATACAACTGTTGTTTTGTTTTTTCGTTTGTAGATACTTTTTATTATATATATATATATATATATATATATATATATATATTATAAATTATTTTCATTCTTTAGTTTCATTCATTCATTTTTGGCACAACAGACGCATATAGCGGTCCTTCGCCTGCTCAATTTCCTTTGCCCAGTTATCCCTGTTGGCTGCGCGGATATGCCATTTTTCCTCAAGTCTTCTTTTACGTTATCTATCCATCTTGCCTTCGGTCTTTCCCTAGAACTAACTCCCTCTGGCTTCCCATGATAAAGCCTTCTCGCTGTCCTCACTTCTCCATTCCATCCTCATTCATGTTTCCACCATTTCATTCGCTGAACTCGAGTGAATTGAGAGATAGACAGATCACCGTACATTGAGTATACCTCTTTGTTTGTTCTCAAGCGGAGGACTCCTTCCTCCAGTTTAGGTCCTATTATCCATCTTAGTATTTTCCTTTCAAACCGATCTATTCATTCAGCAGATGCTTTTATTAGAGTCCATGTTTCGCACGCATTTGTTGCAAACTGACCGAATAATCATTTTGTATATCCTAAACTTCATTATACAACTTAAAAATCTACTTTTTAGAAGGCTCGCTAGAGAAAAGTACCATCTGTTGGTAGCCATTGTTCTAGCTCCTATCTTCTCCTCTTCGTTATTGCAATTGTTAATTATGGACCCAAGATAGGTGAAGCTTGAAAAGTGTGGTTTCCCTAGACATAGTGCTGTGGTGGATGGACAAGCTTTTTCTTCTTTAAAACAAGGACCTTGGTTTTACTTTCGTTTATGCATAGCCCCATTCTCCAACCTTCTGAATGCACCCTTCACTGCTTGAAGTGATCGCACTGCAATGACCACATCATCAGCATACGTGAGCAGTTAGGTCATTCTGGAGAATATTGTTCCTCTGTTATTTAATCTTGCCCTTCTCGTGATGGCCTCTAAGACAATATTAAATAGGAGTGGAGCTTCTTTAGTTTAGATATTAAAAAAAAAAAAATGAAATTATTGTAATTTTTAATCGATCCATTTCTTTT